ATGCTAGGAGACCAAGGTTTGAATCCCCCACTCAGCCAAGGAAATCCAATGAGTAGCCTTGGGCAAGTCACACTCTCTCAGCCTCAGAGGAAGGCAATGGCAACCCCCCTCTGAAGACACATGCCATGGCAACCCTGTGATAGGGTTGCCATAAGTTAGAAATGACTTGAGGGCACCCAACGACGACAGGGAGAAGAAAAGGCAATTTAATCCACTTGGGGTTTTGGTGGAGAGGCATGTGCAATCTGTTCCAATAACCAAGAGAGTCAGCTCTAAGCAATATTTCTCCCATCTTGCATGCCACTCACACTTGTGAAGTATGAAAAGGATGGGCAGGAGATCAAGGGCTGAGCTGCCACCTTTCCACCAGTTGTCTCCAGTTGGCAAGACTGGTGCCACTCATAGAGAGAGATGGAGAGGAAAACACAGCACCCCATTGCTTGGGATCCCAGGAGCACAAAGCACCCAGGTTTCCTCCTGCTGGGCTCTCTCTCCATTACATGCCATCTCCCCATCTCCTCCTTCCAGATGCCCATCTCTGAGCTGTCTGTCTGCCAAGGATGGCATCCCATGTGATGCTTCTCTTTCTCATCCGCAGCCCCCCCCCCCCGGAATTTTCTCCTGGCATCCCATGGGGGCCTTTCCTCCCTTGACCTGCTATTTGCTCGGCTAGCTGAACTCCCCAGGGCTTGCTTGCTTTCCTCCCCCAGCCCCGCCAATCCTTTTTGAAGTTCAAAATCCATTTAAGTCAAGAGGAGGGAAAGTTATTGCCTCTAAAGCCCCTTGCGTTTAACAGTAAATCCTCTTTACTGCTTCGACACAGCCTCTTAGCTGCACCGCAGAGGGGGAGGCATGCGGTGCCGTGGGACTCTTCCCGGGCCTAGAAGCAGGCCTGGAAGGGAGAGGTTTTTGGGAAAGGGAGGGGTTCCGAAAAGGATCCAGGACAAGGTGTGTTAGCAGGGTTTGTGCAATGGAGGATGGCTTGGCTGCCATCTCCCAAAGCATTCAAAATACCCTTCTGCTGAGTTGATCTCTTGTTGAGAAGGAGTTGTAGGATCTCACAAGCAACCCATGCAGAGGAAGCACTGAAAGCATGGACAGACTTTTTGTCCCTAGTGTGCTGGGCTTGTTCTGAAAAGTAAGCTTAGGGGAGGATTGGAGAAGCTAAACTTCCCATGGATGAGCAGGGATTTGAACCCTGGTCTCCAGAATCATAGTCCAACGCTCAAAGCACTATGCCACACTGGCTCTCACCTTTCCCAAATGATGCCCTCCAGATGTGTTATGCTACCACTCCCATTTTTAAAACCATCAGCTGGCCCTTGATATACCTCAGTGGTTCCCAAACTTTGGTCCTCCAGATGTGTTGGACTTCATCTCCCAGAATTCCTAGCTAGGACCTCTGGGAGATGGAGTCCAAAAACCTGGAGGACCAAAGCTTGGGAACCACTGATAGACTGGATGCTGACTCGGAGCAGTTTGGCTGGAAGATCTTTCCACTTAAAGGCACTGCCTACTAAGAGTTTTCTCTTGTGTTTTATTTATTTATTTAACCCTGGTGGCCATACATCTCTTTTGTCTTTTTTGCCCTTCTCCTTCCCCATTTTCTTATCTTTCTTTCAAGCCCTGTGGCCTTGTATGGGCACAATCTTTCTTTTTATTTGCCTCCCTGTTCCCAAACGCCCACAGAGCTGGCTTGCTAATCTTTCCAACACACTCCTCCTCCTCCTCCTCCTTTCTCCCTGTTCCTTCTTCTTCATCACTTGCTTTCTAAGGCTACCATCTCCCAAAATAAGGCATTAGCAGCTGAAACAGAAGAGAGTGGAAGGAAGAGGGGGAGACCTGCCAAGTGATTTTTTTTTAAGTGTGGTTTTCCATGCATTCTGATGCAGCTTCTGATATTGACTCCCTAGTGTGGGTTTCAAAGTGAGTCCATGAGGACTAGTATCTTAGAGGCTTCCGCTAGCTAAGGCAGAGGTGTTTTATCTTTCTGGAAGGCTGACTCGTAAGAAGCAAGTGCTTCAAGGTGGAGGAATTTGGGGAGCTCACATTATTTTTTACCCTGTACTTTAAAGGCACCAGATCCTGTCTGATTTTGGAAGTTAAGTAGGGTCAGCCCTGGTTAGTCCTTGGATGGGAGATCACCAAGGACTATCTGGTGCTGAAGGGTATCTGAGGATTTCTTGCATGAGACTGCATCTACACTTGGCAAGATTTTTTTCAGAGGGGATTTGTCTTTGCCTTCCCTTGAGGCTGAGAGAGTGGGATTTGCTCAAGACCATCCAGTGGGTTTCCATGACTGTGTGAGGATGTGAACCCTGAACGCTCACACCACTATATCATGCTGGCTCCCATATTATGTGCCTTCAGATTGACTTCAACTTATGGTGACCCTCTCCTGGAGTTTCTTTGGCAAGATTTCTTCAGAGGAGGCATGTGATTGCCTTCTTCTGAGGCTGAGAGAGTAGGACCTGCCCATAGTCATCCTGTGGGTTCCCATGGCTGATCGGGGATTCAAACCTGTCCCTCTCAGAATCCTAGTCCAACAAACCAGTATACCATGCTGCCTCTCCATATTTTATTCAGAGGAAGTTTGGCATTGCCTTCCTCTGCCCAAAGCCACCCATTGGGGTTTTCATGGCTGATCAATTGGGGATCCAAACCTTGCCCCATAAGAGCTCTAATCCAACACTCAAACCCTTGGACCACACTGGATCTCATAGGTATTGATACTCTGGGCCTGAGCTTTCCATGGGACTCTCGGACCTTGGTTTTGGGAGCATCGGTTTGCTAAGGTTCCCTTGGATCTTTGGGAAGGACAGAGGAAGTGAGTGTTGCTGCTGCCAGTTCAGATCTGGCTTTTGGCATTCAGGATTTAATAAGGTTGTGAAGGTTGTAGGGAGATTTCCTGACACCGTTGCTTATGTTTGTGCACGCACGCTTGCGCAGGCATGCACGCACATGGGAGTGTGTGTGCGACTTTGATTTCTTTTCTCTGTTGCTGGCAATATTTAAATATTAATGCTCTCCTCTAATTGCTGCGTTAGAAGAACGGGAGATCCAAGGGAGTAGTCCTTGGTGGCAGTGGGGTGGGTTGGAAAAGAGGCTTCCGCCTCCATCCTCTCCGTGCCAGTTAATTTTGTTTTCTCAGGGACTGTTTGTGGAGGAGAAACGTTTGTATACTTCCAGCTGGATTTGTCCAGCTCCAAGGAAAGGGGAGAGGGAGTGATGTACACTGACTGGCAGCTGGGCACAGGAGCCTGCAAACACACATGCACATAATATACACATGCAGGCAGAGCAAACAGTACGAAGGCATGAGCAAGATCTTCCCCGGAGGAGGTGTGCATGCACACACCCACACTCGGTCCTTTTCCAGTATCTCTGTAGCTGGCTATTGTTTTCCAGGGAACACCATAAACCGATCAAGGCCTTTGCTTGTGCAAACTCCAGGGCTTGTTGACACAATCTGTTATCCTCCAGGGAGGAGAGCTTCTGTTCTCCCTTCAACCTCCTTGTCGTCTTCTTCTTCTTCAGGGAGAAATGAGGTTGGAGAATGGGGAAAGGAAGATAAAAATTGGCGGCCCAGGATCAGGACTCCTGACTCCCTCTGGTTTTGGGGAGAGGAAGATCTGCCAGGATTACTCATTTTGATCAAGGAATTGGGTGGCCTGTCTCGCACCTCTCACCCGCAGAGGCTGGCTGCCTTGCTAGTCCTGGCCATGCCATTTATTTCCATGTGCTTCTACCCATGTGGTTGGGTTAACTTGGGTAGAACATATGGTTTTAATTTCTCTGTATATACATGCATCTGTATTTATGCAGATTGAGTCTCCCTTATCCAGAATCCTTGGGACCAGAAGTGTTTTGAAGTTCAGATTTTATTTATTTATTTAGGATTTTGGACTATTTGCATATACGTCATGAGATATTTTGGCGATGGGGCCCAAGTCTGAACACAAAATTCATCTATGGTCCAAAACACATTGCAGAAATAATCCAGTTTGAGACCGTTTTAACTGCATTGGCTCAATGCTAGGGAATTCTGGGAACTGTAGTTTGTGAGACAGAGAACTCTGGTGCCACAATAAAACTACAGTTCCCAGGATTCCCTAGCACTGAGCCAGAGTGGACTCAAAACTGGATTATTTCTGCAGTGTGTTTTGGATCGATGTTTCGTATAGACCTGGCACACATAGCCTGAAGGTAATTTTATACATAATAATTTTGGGCATGAAGCAAAGTTTGAGTGCACTGACCTATCCAAAAGCAACGGTGTCACTGTCTCAGCCGCCATTGTCTCAGCTGTGGATAATTTTGGATTTTGGATTATTTCTGATTTTGGAATTTCAGATAAGGGATGCTCAACTTGTATTGGTCTTCTGAGCTATCGGAGGAGGAGAACATGGTGTGTGGTGAGGGGTCCCTTTTGAACTCTACAGTGCGCCCCTCCCTGGTCTAGACTCGAACCAGGACCAGTCTGATATCATCGCTCTCTGCTGGAAGTGGGGAACAAGATGCCAGCCTTGCCACCTATCATACTAGTCTCTGGGGGTCTCCTCCTCACCAGCAGGAGAAGCGACTTTTAGGCCAGAAGGTGGAGTATCTCTGCCATTTCATTGTCTCTAGCAACTCAAGTGGCCTTTACAAAGCTTGCGTTGCAGTATTTATGGAGTTAGTAAAAAATTAACGTTCTAAAAGACGGCTGTAAAAGTTGAGAAAAATAGATTCTCTTTCTGAAGACAGCAGGGGGGTGGGGGTGGGGGTGGGGAAGGCCACGCAAGACTGCGAGGCAAAAGCAATGCCAGTGTTTGTGTGTGTGTGTCAGTGTGTTTTTATGTAAGGTTAAGGATGGCATAAATTTGCATGGCATGGTGGTTTGTGTGCTAGTCTATGACTCTGGAGACCAGGGTTCGATTCTCCGCTCAGCTGTGGAAACCCACTGAGTGATCTTGCGCAAGTCACAAGGCAATGGCAAACCTTCCCTGAACAAATCTTGGCAAGAAAACCCCGTGATAGGGTCACTTTAGGTTCACTATAAGTTGGAAACGACTTGAACAACAAGAAGTTTGCTTATTCACCATTGGGCAGATTTCTGGTGGGGCATTGTGGTGGGGAGAGACAGTCTGGTGTAGTGGTTTGACTAGGACTAGTTGGGCTAGGGATCTGGGAGACCATGGTTCAAATCCCCACTCAACAATGGAAAGCCACTGATCTCAGCCTCCGGGGAAGGCAAGAGCAAAACTCCTCTGATAAAATCTGGAACTGAACCACTGTGTTATAGTGGTTTCAGTCGTGGACTAGAGGTCCAACAAAACCTCTTGGGTGACTTGCCAAGAAACCCCCATGAAAAGTCCACCTTAGGGGTCACATAAGTTGGGAATGACTTCAAGGCACACAGCAGCAACCAGAAAATGTTTCCTACAGAGCTGAGACCATGCTCTTTTTAAACTTGAGTTTGAACATCTGTATTTTCGACTGTACTCTTTTCTCCTACTGTAAAGTGTGTGTGTGTGTTTGCCTTGGATTCTTGGGATGCCAGATTTTTTCACCTAACGCTGCACCTGTGCAGAGAGCCCTGGAAGGCGTAGGGTCCCAAGGAGACATGCAATAAGGCAAGAGATGAATGGTAATGATTTATGGGGCATTGTGCTGGGATTGTGTTTAAAAAAGAGAGAGGGCCGGGTGCACCTCCTTCCTTGTCGCTGGCTTCTTGCAGATAGCAGAGGGTTAATCTGGGCTTGCCTTCTCCCTGCCTTCTTGCTTTTGTTACAGCCGGCTTCCTCTTATAAAGTAAACTCTGGCGTGCCTGTCACCTGCTCCAGGCGGGCGGCTGCTGCTGTTGCTCTGTAGTCGTGCCAAGTGGCAGGCAGCTTCTTGCTTGCTTGCTGTGGCTTCTGCTGCCAGCCTCCTTCCTTTCCTCTCTCCTTTCCTTCTTGGAACAGTTGCCTTGGGGCACTGCGACCTTAGCAGGTGTTTTGGAGAGCATGCTTGGAGCCTGTTGCCACATGCCAAGCGGTGCTCTTTCTTTTTCTCTCTCCCTCACACACTTATTTTCTGACTCTGACACTCCAGTAGTGCTGCTGCTTTCTGTGCCCCAGCAAGCAGCCTGGTTCTCTTTTTCTCCTACGTGATCCTGGTTCGAGTCCAGACCAGAGAAGGGCACGCTTTAGAATTCAAAAGAGCCCTTCACTACACCATGTTTACCTCCTCCAGGAGTTCAGAAGACCAAAACAGGTTGAGCATCCCTTATCCGGAATTCTGAAATCCGAAATAATCCAAATTCCAAAATGATCCACATGGGCGGCTGAGAGAGTGACACCTTTGCTTTCTGATGGGGCAGCATACACAAACACACAATTCCTGCGCCTAAAATTACCTTCAGGCTGTGTGTACAAAAAACATAAATGAATTTTGTGTGTAGACTTGGGTCCTCTCTCTCTCTCTCTCTCTCTCTCTCTCTCTCTTTCTTTCTTTCAACATGGCAAGATGCCCAGCCTGGTATCGCAACTGCCGGGCCCGGGGATCAGCCTCTTTCTTGGCTTTGGCCATTTTATATTGGCAAACGCCCTGCTGTGAATCGGTTATCTCCAGAGCAGGGCTGGATCCGACTGTTTAGGCCCTAATCTCAGACCTTTAGATGTGCAGAGCTTGGATGTATATATATTCTTTTTCTCAGCATCTCTTGCTGATTTGAGGCAGAGGGACATGTGGGTCTCTCAGATGGCAGTGTGATTTCTCCGTGCTTTTTGGTTCAATAGGGGTGGCTTCTCTCTCCCCTTTCCTCTCGCCTCTACCTGCTGGCACTGCCGCATGCTTGTCTGGCCAGTTCCACCTTTCCTCCCTCTGCAAATGCTGGGAAGAGACCAACAGGACCTAGTGCCCGGCTCATATTCGCCCCAAGGTGCCAGGGAGGGCCGCCGCTCAGGAAGAGAGAAGCGCTACAAAGCAGTGCCTCTCTCCAAACATGGCGATCATGACGATGACGCTTAGCTGGATAGTGAGGTCAATGGGAGCTGTGAGGGGCTCCTTCTCTCTCCATCCCACCCTCAGGAGTCGAGTTTACCAGCCAGGTAGCTCACCTTGGTGCCTCAGGTGAAAGTGGCACCTTGGATTTGGCTCCAGGCCAGGCACAAAAGAGGACACCGCTGCAGCTTTCGCCTTGGTGCTCTCCCCCGGGGGAATTGGCTTGCAAAGGCTTTTATACCAGGCTGGCATGTACATTTCTGCTTGGCACAGGTGCCTTTCCAGCAGGATTCTAGGGGTGAGCGAGTGGAATGGGTTAGGGGTTGCCTTTTAGGAGAGAAAAGGAGGATAGTAGAACGAAAAGGGTGCTCCTTAGTTTATTCTTGTTGTTGCTGAGTGCTCTCACGTCGTTTACAACTTAAGGCAACCCTATCATGGGGTTTTCTGGGGCTGAGAGTGTGTGACTTGCCCAAGGTCACCCAGTGGGTTTCCATGGCTGTGCGGGGAATTGACTCCTGATCTCCAGGGTCGTAGCACTCCTACATACTAGCATTCCACCTTTAGAGCATCATTTGTTTGACACACGCCAGAGTTTTGAGCATTGGACTATGGCCGCACCTGCACTGCAGAAATAATGCAGTTTGACCCTGTTGTAACTGCCACAGCTCAATGGTATGGAATTCTGGTGTTTGTAGTTTGCGACCTATTTAGCCTTCTCTGTCAGAGAGCGAACTACGAATCCCAGGATTCCATAGCATTGTGTCATGGCAGTTAAAGCAGTGTCAAACTGGATTATTTTTGCAGTGCAATTGCAGCCATAGTCCAGTGCTCAAACTCTGGCTTGTGCCAAACAAATGCTGCTCTGCAGGTGGAAGGCTAGCATGTCGGAGGGGGAAGCTAAAACTAGGTTTTTCTCTGTGGATGAGGGCGTTCTTGTGAGCGAGGTTGTATATCTGCCACTGAAAGATCCGAGTCCAGAAATAGGAATTTACCATCTTAATTTTACTGTTGTTATTTGCTGTGAAAGTGACTGAGACTTTGGAAGACCTTATGAGTGAGAGACCTCCAAGAGTCCCTGTTGTCAACCAGCCTACTCAGGTCTTGCAAACTCAAGGCAGCCGTGGCCTCCTTGGTTTGTTCTATCTACCTATTAGCAAATCTTTCACCCTCAGCACCACCCCTTCCTCAATTTGCTGTGTGGCCTACTTTACAGGGCTGTTGTAAGGCTAACTTGAGAGCATGTTCCAATTCCATCCAAAATTCACCAAACAGGGATACCTTTATTGGGACAACCAAAATGTACAATAATACATTTTGCAAGCTTTCCAAGCTCCATTGGCATGGAGAGCATGTTGCATTTAAATGCTTTGAAGTAAGTGGTTAAGTAACTAACTAACTAACTAAATGCCATTTAACACTGTTGCAATTCCAAAACATTAATGGCTACAATAAAGCAAGTTTCTTTCTCCTACAAAGGGGTTAGTGTTTGTTTCTCCTCTAGTGAGAAAGGAATGGTAACAGTGGTGTTTGATGTTTCCCTAGGGCTTGTTTCAAAATTTTGTACCCCAGATGATCTTGGCAAATGGCTCAGGAGCATCCCCTGCTGGAGCATCCATATATCACAGAACTCTATCTGGTTTGTTGTTGGCTGCCTTCAAGTCATTTCCAACTTATGGCGACCCTAAGGTGGACCTATCCCGGGTTTTTCTTGGCACGATTTGCTCAGAGGAAGTTTGCCATGGCCTTCCCCTGAGGCTGAGAGCGTGTGACTTGCCTAAGGTTTCATGGGTTTCATGGCCGAGCGGGCAATCAAACCCTGATCTCCAGAGTTGTACTCCAACCTCTACACCAGCGATTCCCAAACTTTGCTCTTCCAGATGTTTTGGACTTCAGTGCCCAGAATTCCTGACTGTTGGCCAAGATGGCTGGGGCTTCTGGGAGTTGAAGTCGAAAGCATCTGGAGGACCAAAGTTTGGGAATCACTGTTCTGCACCATGCCGGTTCGCCATGTCAGGTACATACGACGTAAACAATAATGCAAAAATCCAAATGCAAAAAAGTTCATTTTTAAAAAAATATGTGGAAGTTTGTTCAGCTTACTCTGAGTTGACTGCCTTGGGTGCTTAAGAGAGTAAGCAGCAAGTCAGAGAGGTGTGTTCCATTCAGATCCTATCTTGGCGGTCAAACTGAAATGGTGCTGCTAGTCCATGTGGTTCTTCCTAGGCTCCATGTGTAGAAATAGCGTGGGATGGAGACTTAGCCAAAGGCAGCCACTCCCCTGGATTAAAAGAGATGCAGCTGTGGGTCAGTGTGGGTTTTGTGTCTCTCTGCCATTTGCAAGTACAGCTTATACACACATCGAGAGACCGGGGAGAGATGGGCAATCTTGCATGCTTTATGGCTTACAAACTGGCGTGACAGTTACCCGCTGAGTCGGTTTGCAACAGCTAGCTTTTAGCTTGGGGGACTCGGAGTGGGGTGGGTTGCATTCCTCCCTTCCTCCCCCCTCAAAAGTCCTTCCCAGATCTTAATTCTTAGAAGCCAGTTTAGTTTTCTACCCATATAACAAGCTGACAGCCTGGGGTCAAGCTGTAGATTCATAACTTGGCTAGGAGACATTTCAGAACAATAAAGGTGTCTGGCTTGTGATCGGGTTGTTTTTTATTTCAGGCCTTTTCCCTCCAGCCTCCTCTTCCCTCTCCTCCTCTGCTTCTTCCCCCAGCTTCAGGGCTGGATTTACTGCAAGGGGAATATTTTTTAACATGCCCTGAAGCGAGATGCCAATGCTGTGGGCTCTTTCTCTCCTCTTTTTCCTCCTCCTCCGCTTATCTGTCCCTCCATTCCCTTGCTCAGCCCCTCAACTGAAATGTTTACCTCCCAACTCCTCTGACAGTTCAAGCCGTCTTGTGAAGCAGGGGTTATTGAACTGCGAATGTTATGACATTACATTCTTGTGTCTGCGCTTT